AAAGGGGCTGCTGTGAGGAGTTTGCCTTTCAGAGAGAAAGGGCACGGCAAACAAGTAAAGAAATAAGCAGACAAGATAATTTCGAATAACAAGTGTTCATATAATGGCAAACAGATGTACCGCCTGTGCCAGGCCCTGTTCTAAATGCTATAACTATGGGCGTTGGTTCTTTTAATCTCACAATAAACCTAAGAGCTAGAGTAATTATCACCCCCTTTCTCGGATGGGAACGTGGAGGTTGAATCATCTGTTCAAGGGAAATGAGAAGTTGAATCATACACAGCCGGTCCCCACTTACATTATATGGGTTGACTTAGGAGGGTTCGAAAGTGATACATAGTCATTAGAAACCATACTTAGAATTTTGAATTGTGATTCCCTCCCCCCTCCTCCCCCCCAGGCCAGCTCTAATACTCTCTGCTCTCAGCCACCGGATCGTGAAGGTAAATAACCATCTACCATGTTGCCTGGGTTTTTTGTATATTGTGTTTTGTTTCCACATTCCATCATGTCTACAAAATGCCCTCCGAGCCAGCGCTCAGTCAAGGGTTCTGCAAGCCTGAGTGAGGGCGGTGAAGGATGAAGAAATGACAGACAAAGAGAATAAGCTGGGTCTAGGTCCGTGGTCGGCAAACTGCGGCTCGAGAGCCACATGCGGCTCTTTGGCCGCAAGCTGAGCCTTTATTTTATAGCCAGAGGTAAAGGAGGTAGTGGTCACCATAGCTACGATGTTCTTGTGAGTTTCACTTGTTTTGCAGCACTTGCTGCATCTCCCTCAGTCCATTAGCTACCTAGGAAGGATCTAGGGAGTGTCATAAGGTCAAGCCTAATTATGCTAAGAGGACTGTGCCCTCTAAGCTGGGACTTGTTTGTGGCTTTGCCAACAGGTCAGTCTGAGGCTTAACCCTATAGCCGCGCCCTACAAATGCCCATCTGTGTCTCCTGCTTCTGGTGAGAAGAAGAAGGCACTTAGATGAAACCCAACATAATTGCCCAACTGTGGGCTAACATACGTGTTCTGAGCACGTTTAAGGTAGGCTGGGCTAAGCTACGAGGTTCCCTAGGTTAGGTATGTTAAATGCATTTTCGACTTCGATACTTTCAACTAGCGCTGGGTTTATCAGGGTGCGACCCCATTGTAACCCCAGGAGCATCTGTATTCTTGGGAAAACGGGTTGAACAATTTACAAAAGTGTCCAGTGGATGGAGGAGACCAAATCTGGATACAGATAGTTGGGCTGCGAGTGAGGTTTCTTAACTTCTCCACTCTACCACCTCTGGCTCTGCAAGAAGGACGTAAAATGGTGACATTCCAGAGTGCTGGGCCTGGAAGAGAGCTGTTCCCAAAAGGGTGTCTGTGACCCTCTCTATGTCCTGGGGCCATTTAAGCTGAGGCTTGAATGAGGAGAGGATCCAGGCCTGCAAAGAGTTGGGTGCCCAGGCAGAGGGAACAGCAAGAGCAAGGCCTGAGGTGGGCGGCACGCATGGACTCCGTGTGTTTCATAAACACAGGAGGGTCAAGGGGCCTGGGGCTCAGTGAGCAAGGGCTGGAGTGAGGGGCGGGGAGAGTGGAGATGACCAGAGGCCCCGCAAGCTTGGCAACGAGAGCGTTTGTTGCAGGTGTGATGGGAAGGCCTGCTGCTATGACTGCTAGAGGGAAGTGTGGATGAGTGGGCTGGACTAGATGGCGGAGGCCCTTTCAAGTGCCAGCCCTTGGTCCCCAACAGACTTGGAGATGTCAGATCAGCTAAGCCCTCATCTTACAGACTGGAGTGAGACTGAGGTCCAGACTGAAGGAGTGAGTCCCTTCTATTCAGCTGCATATGTCCACACAAGGCCAGAGGGACATACCCACCCAAGCCGTTGCCCCCTGTCTAGATGTACTTCGGGGTCCCGGGACCTCTGTGCTTCCTGCCCAAAGGTCCCAAGCCTGCTTCTAGGGCCTGTGCTCTGGAGGCAAAACACTAGGCCCAGGATGTAGCCAAAGGGCAGTGTGGAGCCAGGGGTGGCGGGAAATCGGACAGGCAGCCTGAGGTGTCTACACACCTACATGTGGGATCTGCACAGTGTGGGCAGAGCTGAGGGTAAGAAGGGAAGGGAGCAGGCTGGGGCGGGAGGGATGAGGCCAGCTCTCCTCACCCCCACTCTACATTTCAGCAAAGCTGTAGGAGGGGTCTGAGGTTTCAAATTGAACCTGGCCTTCCAGGGTGTTCTGAAGTTATATTCATGGAGGAAAAAGAGAGGACATTTTAAAAACAATGTATTAGCTTGATTTATAGTTTTTAAATACTTAGATCTGGGGGTGAGTGGCCCCGGGGTCCCCCAATATCAGGAGTGGGTTTGTCCAAGCACATAAGAGATATTTATCTTTTAGGTGAATTAATCTCATTTAATTTATTCCTCATGCAGACTCTACAAGGGAAATAGCACCGTCTGTGTTTTATTGATGAGGAAACCAAGGCGTGGAGAGATTTAGCGACTGACCCAATTTGTCACGTTAGAAAGGAACAGAGATGAGCCTTGAGCCCTAATGCATCTAACTCCAAAATCCTTTACAATTGTCTCATGACAAGTTCACAGTCATTATGAACACATTAAATATATTATAACAGCCTGAGCATGTCATTCAGTCTCTTTGGACACAAGGACTCTTTATATTACACTAGAGGCCCGGTGCATGAAATCTGTGCATGGGGCAGGGGTGGGGGTCCCCTCAGCTTAGCCTGCACCCGCTCCAATCTGGGACCCCTCAGGGGATGTCCGACTGCCGGTTTA